GCACAGAGGCTCACGGAGGGTGAAAAATGGGCCTACTGGAAGTTCAGTAGAGCCCGTTTCCGGCCCCCAGAGGACCTCCGGAGCCTGGGGAGGCTGTTTTCGTCCTCCTGGAGTCTTGAGAAAAGCCTCCGGAGCCCGGGGAGGGCAAAAATGAACACGCACACACACACACACACACACACACACACACACACACCACTGTGGTGCAGGAAGCCAGCTAGGCCACGCCTACCATGGGCACCCCCACCCAGCAACTAGGCAGAAAACCTCTTGCTAAAATTTTTGAAGCCCATCTATAACTTAATTAAAAAATTGATTCGAAAGAAGTTGTAGGTGCCCCACGACTGGAGGTTATTAAGAAGAGACTGGACAACCATCTATCTGAAATGGTATAGGGCCATGATGGTGAATCTATGGCATGTGTGCCAGAGGTGGCACGCTAAGCCCTCTCAGTGGGCATGCGCACCGGCCAGCTGCTCTCTTCCGGGTTCCGGTGCTCCAGCGCGCACGCTCCAGTTTTGGCACTCGGTGCCGAAAAGATTAACCATCACTGGTATAGGGTTAGATTAGAAGACCACCAAGGTCCCTTCCAACTCTGTTATTCTGGCATAAGAAACAACCAGACACAAAGACATGCTATCACTCTGTTAAACAACTAATTCCCACAACGCTGTCTATGCCCTGGGATGTCAAACCACCTAGTAGGACTGTAGTACTAATTATCCTTCTCACCTGTCCTATTACCTATGTCCTTAGATTCTTATGACTATAACTTGTTGTATGTCGTGATTTATGTTGATTGCTTTTATTTAGTATACTATTCTGATTTATGTTGATTGCTTTATTATGATTATCATTGAGTGTTGTATCTATGATTTACGATTATTGTATTTTATGATGATGGTTATCACTTGTTGCTTGTATGTACGCCTGAGAGCTTATGCACCGGAGACAAAATTCCTTGTGCGTGTGTGTGTCTGTCCAATCACACTTGGCCAATAAAGATTTAGAATAGAATAGAATAGAATAGAATAGAATAGAATAGAATAGAATAGAATAGAATAGAATAGAATAGAATAGAATAGAATAGAATAGAAAATATGGAATGGAATGGAATGGAATGGAATAGAATAGAATAGAATAGAATAGAATAGAATAGAATAGAATAGAATAGAATAGAATAGAATAGAATAGAATGAAAGAAATAATAGGAACAGAATAGAATAGAATAGAATAGAATAGAATAGAATAGAATAGAATAGAATAGAATAGAATAGAATAGAATAGAATAGAATAACAGAGTTGGAAGGGACCTTGGAGGTCTTCTAGTCCAACCCCCTGTTTAGGCAGGAAACCCTAAACCACTTCAGACAGATGGTTATCCAACATCTTCTTAAAAACTTCCAGTGTTGGAGCATTCACAACTTCTGGAGGCAAGTTGTTCCACTGATTAATTCTTCTAACGGTCAGGAAATTTCTCCTGAGTTCTAAGTTGCTTCTCTCCTTGATTAATTTCTAGAAATTGCTGCCATATTTTTAAATTTACAAGACCCACTTTACAAGACATATATTTACAAGGCCCACTTCTAGTTTTAGCAATGACATGAAGACGTTTCAAGCTTAATCAAACGTTTTACTCATGAGAAGACAAATAGCTTTGTGAAATGTTCTGCCAGTGGTTTGGTCTTTCATAACATAATTTTCATTCTTTAGGTTTCAGTTTAGATTTCCTGTGCTTTATTCTAGTTTTACTCAGAGCCACTCGGGGGTTGCCTCAAACTGCTAATGGGAGGCATATAAATTTAATAACTAATAATAAAAAATTAATAGTTACGGGAGCCATTATTCAGCAGCCGCGTCTAAAGCTATGATTTGGAGCTCGGAATGGATGTGATGGTTCATAAAATAATAAAAACAGCGATAACCTATGCAGCCATCTGTTTTTCTTCAAATGACACTGAACTGTTTAAAATCACTATATTTCTCATTAGAAGTTCCAGTATAAGTATTTTTGACCCAATGTATATTCAGGGAAATGGCAGAGTTAAAATCCTAAGGGTCAGACAGAAAGTATGGAACAAAATTGCTTTTTTAAAAACGGTTTAATGCTCATATTCCTTAGTCTATCTCCTGTATGATTAATTCAGTATTTTTGCTTCTATCACCAGGAGGTTAAATAAGGCTACAGTTTGTTCTGTATTCTCTGTTTTGGCTATGATGTGTTTCCTAAAAAAACCTGATTTACTTCTCAGAGTTGGAGAAATGATTTACATTCTTCATACCCAGAGATGGGTTTCAGCAGGTTCTGACCAGTTCTGGAGAACCGGTAGCGGAAATTTTGAGTAGTTCGGACAACCGATAAATGCCACCTCTGACTGGCCTCGCCCCCATCTATTCTCTGCCTCCCGAGTCCCAGCTGATTGGGAGGAAATGGGGACTTTGCAGTAACCTTCCCCTGGAGTGGGGAGGGAATGGGGACTTTGCAGTAACCTTCCCATGGAGTGGTGTGGGAATGGAGATTTTATAGTATCCTTCTCCTGGAGAAGGGTGGGAATGGAGATTTTACAGTAACCTTCCCCTGCCACGCCCACCAAGCCACGCCCACCAAGCCAAGCCATGCCACACCCACAGAAACGGTAGTAAAAAAATGTGAATCCCACCACTGTTCATAACTACCCTCCCAACGTTGTCACTGAATTTTTTTAAAAAATAGCCGATCTTCCAGCAGGACATTCTGAGAACTTTCTTATGGTACCTCTGCAGAGTTTTGGGGATACCAAGGAAGGAAACAACTTTCTGTAGTAAAACAACTTTTTATATGGAAACAGACTTTTCTGTAAGTGCAGAGAAGAGCAATAAAAATGATTAGGGGGACTGAAGGCTAAAACAGAGGAACAATGGTTGCAGGAACTGGGCATGGCTAGTTTAATGAAAAGAAGGACTAGGGGAGACATGATAGCAGTCTTCCAATATCTCAGGGGCTGCCACAAAGAAGAGGGAGTCAAGCTATTCTCCAAAGCACCTGAGGCCAGGACAAGAAGCAATGGGCGGAAACTCATCAAGGAGAGAAGCAACCTAGAACTAAGGAGAAATTCCCTGACAGTTAGAACAATTATTGTATTTTTTGGAGTATAAAATGCACCTTTCCCTCCCCCCTAAAAGGGGGTGAAAATTTAGGTGCATCTTATACACCGAACGTACCCCCACCCACCCACTGGCCCCCACCCTTTGGTCTCTGCCTCGCAGCAGTTACCTCCTTGCAAGCAAACAGCAAGAAAAAACAGCTCCTTTCAGCTTCAGCACAGGCTAATTAGCACAAGTTGATTAGATCGGCCTCCCAACTCTCAGCTGATTTGCTCTCAGCTGTTTTGCGCAGGGCTCTGCTGCTTGCTGCAAAGAGGTAAATTGCTGGAGCAGATTTTTTTTTCCCCTTGTGCTAATCAAGCTATGCTGAAACCGAAAATGAAAGTAAAGCAGGCTGTTTGCTGTTTGCTGCAACGAGGCAAAATTGCTCAGAGGCAGAGGGAGATTTCCTTTTCCTCTTTTCCTCACCAAAAAAGGTAGGTATGTCTTATACTCCGGTGCGTCTTATACTCCGAAAAATGCAGTAATCAGTGGAACAATTTCCTCCAGAAGTTGTGAATGCTCCAACATTGGATGTTTTTAACACGAGATTGGACAACCATTTGTCTAAAATGGTATAGGGTTTCTTGTTTGAGCAGGAGGTTGGACTAGAAGACTTCCAAAGTCTCTTCCATCTCCGTTATTCTGTTATTCCGAGTAGCTGCTGGAGTTTCAACCCCATCCTGGGTTTCTACCAATGACTTTTAAGGCTGTTTCACTTCTATTTTAAACCCTTAACTTAAATAACCTCGGTACTTACTTCTGTCACTGCTATCCTTCTCAAAAATTTACTAGGCACTCATTTCTCTGAACCAAAATCCCAGACAAGCAAAACAAGAAGAATGGATGGATGTAGACCAACGGCGGTGGAAGGAAAATCTTGTGACTGCATCACCGAACTTGCCAAAGTGAGTGAATAAAATATTTTTAGAGGTACTCCATCTCCGAGTTCTACAAAGAAAAAAATCAGCAAGCGGCAGCAGTTTCGTGAATACAGAAGAAAGATTTGCAATGGAGCAAACCGGAGCTTATTTTTCCACATATATCTAATGATGCTAGCTACACACCAGGTTTGATCATATGTTTATTCATCCCTGGAGATGCCCTAAAAATGCCAGTCCTATCATCCACCTGGTTGGAAAGGCAGGGAATGCTTTGCTGGCCTACCCAACCTCTTGCACAAGAATTCCAGTGCTGTTTTCTGACCACCTACAATCTTTGGACCGATTCCTAATGAAGGTAAGTCACCATGAAAAGTAGCATACGTTGAGTAAATACATTGAGTAGGACATGCAACAGGTAAAATGACTACGCAGCTGCCAATAATTCCCAAGACGTTTAGTGGTGCTTACTTTTCAGTAGATACAAGCAGGGGTGGGCCGCTGAGGGTTCGGGAGAACCTCTAGCTAAGATTCTGTGCAGTTCGGAGAACCTCCAAATCCCACACCTGGATGGTCCTGCCCACCCTGCCCCGCCCCTCCCAGGTGTCCCCACGCAGCCCATTTTGGATGCAGGTAAGTGCAGGGCACGCACAGAGGATTGGGGAGGGTGAAAAACAGGCATACTGGAAGTTCAGGAAGATCGGAAATGGGCCTGTTTCCAGCCTCCAGAGGGCCTCCAGAGCCTGGGGGGGCCATTTTCGCACTCCCGGAGGCTCGATGAAAGCCTCCGGAGCCCAGGGAGGGCAACCCCCCTCCCCCCGCCATGGTGCAGGAGGCCAAGGCCACGCCCACCATGGCCACGCCTACCCAGCAACCGGGCAGAGAACCCCTTGCTAAAATTTTTGAAGCCCACCCCTGGATACAAGTCCAGTATTTCTTCATCTGAGCATTGTTTGAAAACGACTATGCTGAGAACAACATAACACCGCATTATTCTAGGGTCTTCAAAGATGAAACTTTATCACCAACGATGTAAAAGAGCATCAAATTAATATGTTTTAACCATATTGGATCTTAAAAGTGATTATTGGTGTACATTTTTTTTTTTTTTGTAAATTTAGAAACAAATAACATTATCCTGCACATTATGAACGGGGGGGGAAAGTTTACATTTGCAAAGATCTGAAAGGATTTTCTATCCAAGTTAAATTGGAAAGCTAAATATTTATTACAAGACAAATCCTTTAAAATTAATTTTAAAACCCATGTCTGTTTTAGAAAGTGGTCAAAGAGAATTCCCTCCCCACCCCCATTATTGCTATCTCCACGTTTTTAGCTAAAGAGATTATGAGAGCTACAGTTGAAATCTCAAGGTCTCGCAATACAGTAGTCCCTCTTATAGATTAGAATACTTGATGGATACAAACAGACCTGTGTTAGAACACTCTGTTGGAAAATGGTTAGTTTTACAACCATTGGCTTTTTTTTTGGGATGCGTTAGAAATTCTGCTAATTTAAAAAAGGATTAAGAATCCATTTTAAGCCTTCTGGTACAAGTTAACACTGGCATTGCAAACAGATGGAAAGCCACAGATCCCGTACAAAAGTCTCAACACAATCGTGTTTGGAACATCCTGACACCAATCAAGAATATATTTAAACAAATAAAAGAGATTTCATGACTGGCACACCGGCAGGGCCACAAGAAATATACAGAAATTTGGCACATGGCAAAAGAGATGAGGTCTGCCGTCTATTCTGACATGGACTGAAATTGAAGTTCATTTTGGACACGGCCGGAGGTGAAATCCAGCAGGTTCTGGAGAACCGGTAGAGGAAATTGTGAGTAGTTCGGAGAACCGACAAATACCATCTCTGGCTGACCCCAGAGTGGGGAGGGAATGGGGATTTTGCAGTATCCTTCCCCTGGAGTGGGGTGAGAATGGAGATTTTGCAATATCCTTCCCCCAGGAGTGGGGAGGGAATGGGGATTTTGCAGTATCCTTCACCTGGAGTGGGGTGGAAATGGAGATTTTGCAGTATCTTTCCCTTGTCACGCCCACCAAGCCACACCCACAGAACCGGTAGTAAAAAAATTTGAATTTCATCACTGGACACAGCTCATTTAAGACTCTGGCCATGGCAAACAATATGTTCTTTCTTATCTCAGCCAATATTCCTAGTCAGTGGGATGGCAGTGAAGGTAATGAAAATGGAATCTGGCAAATGCAATCAGCCTAATGCAAATAAGACCCCTTATTCCTAGGACCCCAATGTTCCTTCATTGAGGCAGCCACGTATAATAACGTGGAGACACTTCCAGCAGGGTTCCTGGTGTGGTAACATCGAGGTCCATCACCCAGCTCAGGATGCTTTGCTCTCAGCAGCACAAGAGGGTCCTGGAACTCATCCTCTCGATAGCTCTCCTGATCTATTATTTTTCATGATCTGAACTTTGTGCTGCGACAAATCAGTGCTTTTCTTTTTACGGATGCAGATCCTAGGTCAGGGTTGGCGAAGATTTTCAGCACTAAGTGCCGAAACGGGGGCACGTGCCGGAAACCAGAAGAGCAGCTACCCGGTGCGCATGTGCATGCTGGAAAGATGATTTTCTGGTTTCCAGCGCACACATGTGCGCCGGCCACCTGGTCTTCCGGTTTCTGGCACACATGCAAGCGTGAAGAGCAGCTGGCCTGTGCGCATGTGATTGGCGGAAACCAAAAGAGTAGCCGCCTGGCGCACGCATGTGCACTGGGCAGCTGCTGTTCCGATTTCCTGCGCTCCTGCATGTGTGAAGACCAACTGGTCGGCACGCCGGAACCCGGAAGAGCAACGAGTGATGGCTCTGCATGCCACTTCCAGCACGCGTGCTATAGGTTCGCCATCACGGTCCTAGGTAGAGGCAGATATTTCTCTCTCTGGGAACACTGAGAGTATCTGCTGAAAAAAACTCTGCTCTGGCAACAGGAAGAGCATCCGGCCAGTAAACACTCTGCTAGCTCCATTCAGTTGTCCAGACTCCCCCCGGCAAGGGATTGTGGGGTCGTTAAATGATGATGATGATCACACTGCTGGCTCATATTTTCCTTGTGGTTGACAAGGGCCCCCAATCCCTCCCACATATATTACTACCAACTCAGGTCTCTCTGTCTTGGCAGTGTTGAAAGAAGCCATTTCCATTTAAACTAAAACCCTTCTAGTCAGCAAATATTCGGTGTAACCAGGACCATAGTTTCGTAGAACAGGTTATTCAAAGTGCTCACCTTTCACTGGTCTAAGACTACTCAAAAGAGTTGTTGTTGTTTTTTTAAAAAATGTGTCCCATGGAGATGATTTATCTCTGTCCGAAGCACCTGCGGAGCAATTTCTGAGGAGTAATCCATTCTCCTGGGACAATTTTAATAATGGTTTTGGAACAGGCTTAATCAAAAGAATAGTGTTTCCATATACCCTGTTTCCCCCAAAATAAGACATCCCCTGATAATAAGCCCAATCCGGCTTTGGAGCACATGGCAATAAGGCCAAGCACTTTTTTTTTTTAATTTGATTTATATGCCGCCCTTTTCCAGAGACTCAGGGCAGCTCACAATGCGTTAAGCAATAGCCTTCATACTTTTGTATATTTATACAAAGTCAGCTTATTGCCCCCACAAACTGGGTCCTCAATTTACCTACCTTAGAAAGGATGGAAGGCTGAGTCAACCTTGAGCCTGGCGAGATTCGAACTAGCAGTAATTGCAGGCAGCTGAATGATAATAACAGGCTATTAGTCTGCTGTGCCACCAGGCTCTTATTTCAGGGTTCAAAAAAAAATATAAGACAAGGTCTTATTTTTGGGGAAACACGGTAGTAGTGTAAGTTTGGGGTGGAATCAAGAGGGATTTTTAAATTAAATTGTCACTATCCCTGATCCCCCAAGGCAGAGTTTCCCAATGTTTCCGGCTTTGTGGACCGGGGGTGGGTGGGCGGAAGGGATGGTTCATACAAGCAGCTGGCAAGCATGTGTGTGCAGTTGCATTTGGCGAGTGGTGTGCACGTTTGCATGCAAATGGAGCCCACACACACACACGTGTGCGCTTGCCCACTGCTCGTGCAAGTGAGGATACGGGTGCGCGCGCACATGCTTGCCGGCTGTTTCTGCAGCCCAGTTGCAAACTCCTCATGGCCCACTCGTGGGCCTCAGCCCACTCAGGTTGCGGACCCCTGCCCTAAGGAGTGCCGATTCCCTTGCAAAAAAAAAGAGAGAGAGAGAGAAGGAAAGAAACATGTGCAAACTTCAAAGCATAAAACTCGGTGTCGAGTAAAAGACTTGTCCTAAGTTTTTCTTGACAGCTTGGAAACTTCTGACGTCGATCAAGGAGCATTTCCCACACTTCTCCAGCTGCCCCCAAACGCCCAGAGTGTTGCTAAGAATTCTGGGATGCCCGATTCATGCAGGACGTTAGCCAACCTGTTGGGCTCCAGACCACGCTTCCTGTTTGGCAACTCCTTTACAGTTAGCTGTCTTCTCACCGAAGAATCCTCATGAGCTTCTGAGGAGCTCTTAACCTGTCAACTGCTCTGTTAACTGTTCCATTCTTCATTGCTGCAGTCTCCATTTTCATCATCGTCGGAGTCAGCGGAGACCTTCTTAATCCTCTGGATGGCTGCCTTGATGCTTTGCTCCAGTTCACTGCCCAAACCCTTCGCAATGCCTTCCTTGGGCTCTTGACTGACCTTTCGCAGTTTAACCCCCTGCCTAATGGCGGCAAGAATGCTGTCGTTGAGAGAGTTGCCACCGGAGGTTGCCTGTTGGGTCAGGTCCACTTTGCGAAGGAGGACTTCGCCACGCTTGAGGGAAGCCAAGACCTCATCCATGGACCCTGAGGTGGAACAAGTGAAAACATCATTCTTGGATGAAAAGAAAATCCAAGGAGAAAGCTACCTCAGGTGGCCTCAGGTTGACTTACAGACCTGGGTTTTTGTCTATGTGGCTGCTTCTTGGTCTATCATTTCCAAGATGTAGCATTTTTGTTTTATTTCACAGCCAATTATTATGGAATATGTTTTTATTGCTTGTTTCTTTTGATGATCTATTTTTTTTGTATGCCTCCCAGAGTCACGTTCATGAGATGAGTGGCTACATGGATGAATGAATGAATGAATGAATGAATGAATGAATGAATGAGTGAGTGAGTGAGTGAGTGAGTGAGTGAGTGAGTGAATGGGTGAATGACATCCCACCCTCATCCCAAACAACTCTGGGCAGCATGCAACACCAAACAAACATTATTCCCCACCTCATTATGTACATATGCATCTGAATCAGAATAATATCAAAAAATAATAACCAGAGAAAGCAAAGAAAAACCCTAAATAAGCCCCCAAATAGGTAGCCACCATCAGTCAGCTATCACCAAACCCCAATGGTTTAACCTGGCTTAGAGAATTGCAGTAAAGATGGTCCTGCATGTACTTCTGGGAGAAGGATAGCAGAAAGGATAGTAAAGGTAAAGGTTCCCCTCGCACATATGTGCTAGTCGTTCCCAACTCTAGGGGGCGGTGCTCATCTCCGTTTCTAAGCCGAAGAGCCAGCACTGTCCGAAGACGTCTCCATGGTCATGTGGCCGGCATGACTCAACCACAAAGGTGCACGGAACGCTGTTCCCTTCCCACCAAAGCTGGTCCCTATTTTTCTACTTGCATTTTTACGTGCTTTCGAACTGCTAGGTTGGCAGAAGCTGGGACAAGTAACGGGAGCCGACCCGTTACACGGCACTAGGGATTCGAACCGCTGAACTGCCGACCTTTCAATCGACAAGCTCAGCATCTTAGCCACTGAGCCACCGTGTCCCATAGCAGCAAGGTAGGGGCCATTAAAGAAAAGACTCTCTTTTCTGTAATATCATAAGGGATTTTATTCCCTTCAAAAAGCTACAAAAAAAGGTTCTTAAGATACCCGAGGAAATGTTGTGAAGTGTTAATACCACTTTATAATGCCTTGCTAAGGCCACACTTGGAATATTGCATTCAGTTTTGGTCGCCACGATGTAAAAAAAGATGTGGAGACTGTAGAAAGAGTGCAGAGCAGAGCAACAAAGATGATTAGGGGATTGGAGGCTAAAACATATGAAGAACGGTTGCAGGAACTGGGTATGTCTAGTTTAATGAAAAGAAGGACTAGGGGAGACATGATAGCAGTCTTCCAATATCTCAGGGGCTGCCACAAAGAAGAGGGAGTCAACCTGTTCTCCAAAGCACCTGAGAGTAGGACAAGAATCAATGGGTGGAAACTAATCAAGGAGAGAAGCAACCTAGAACTAAGGAGAAAGTTAGACAGTGAGAACAATTAATCAGTGGAACAATTTGCCTGCAGAAGTTGTAAAGGCTCCAACACTGGAAGTTTTTAAGAAGAGATTGGACAACTGTTTGTCTGAAGTGGTGTAGGGTTTCCTGCCTAAGCAGGAGGTTGGACTAGAAGACCTCCAAGGTCCCTTCCAACTCTGTTATTCTATTCTATTCTATTCTATTCTATTCTATTCTATTCTATTCTATTCTATTCTATTTCTATTCTATTTCTATTTCTATTTCTATTTCTATTCTATTTCTATTTCTATTTCTATTTCTATTTCTATTCTACTCTACTCTACTCTACTCTACTCTACTCTACTCTACTCTACTCTACTCTACTCTACTCTACTCTACTCTATTCTATTCTATTCTATTCTATTCTTCTCTCCAGCTTTTCAGCATGCACTCCCGTTTTCCAGAGGCCTCGATCAACATATCCTTTACATTCTCTTTGGGATGCAGGAATGACAGAAAAAGGCTTCAACTCTGCGCAAGGCCTGCAGCTGCATAATAAAGACCGTATCTTACATGCAAAGAAGTTCACCTCTCCAAACAGAGCTGGGGAAAAAATCTGTGTGCCACTCAAGGTTGACCACTTCGGAGGGCATCACAGGCAGGAGACGCTGGGTTGCATTCAAATGCAGCCGCTTCAACTGAATCTCTGCATGTTAGTTGTTATGCAGCAAAGTACGCTGGATCTGTAGCTCTTCTAACTTCATTGTCTTTCAATGAGAACTTAAGGACACATTTTTTTTCCTGATATTATTTGATAGAATATAATATCCTTTAATGCAGGGGTCTCCAACCTTGGGAACTTTAAGACTTGGGGACTTCAACTCTCAGAATTCCTCAACCAGCAAAGCTGAAGAGTTGACGTCCACAAGTCTTAAAAGTTCCCAAGGTTGGAGACCCCTGCTCTAATGTTACTACAGGTACAGTGGTGGATTGCTCCCGATTCTTTCCGGTTCTTGAGAACCGGTAGTAAAAATGGTGGGAGGCTCCACCCACCCGCCCTGACGTCACATTTGGTGATCTGCGCTCACGTTGCGAACCGGTAGTAAAGATAAGTGGAGCCCACCCCTTGTTGTGGCCCGTCAGCGGCCTGTGCAGCTAGTAACTGATTCCGACAGTGAAGGCTAGTGTGGTGCTGCGCCAGTGCAGCCTGGCAGCTGGCATTCGAGTCAACAATGAGGAGGCTGGAGAAGATGTAGTGCCAGAGGCGGGGATTCAGCCAGGGCCTTCAGAACCTCCAGAAGCTCCCATAATGAAGAGGAAGAAGAGGAGGAGCCTATTCTCGATGCACGGCGCGCAGAGCTGCCAAAAGGCAGGAGTGGCTCCTCAAGAGGAGGTCTCCTTGAGAATAAGGCTTGGGGCTAATTGGCCACTCCCTTAGCCTATTTAAGGAGGGATGCCGACTGAAGCAATTTGCAGGGAACAACTTCGTTCACTCTCCTTCGTGCCTTGATCTTAGTTCTCTGCAAATTGCTTCTGGGCTTTCTGCCAACCATAGTAAGATTACGATTATTTATTCTTTAAATTCTTGTAGGCTGTTAAGAAAGTTAATTAACAGCCTTTGTTTGAAAAAAACTGATTTAATTTAGTAAACTAAGGTTTGTACAGACTTTGTGTGTGCTGCGTTCTTTGGGTTCCATAGCTGAGGCAGGACACACCCCTGTACAGGTAGTCCTCAACTTACAACAGTTCTGTTTAGTGACCATTAGAAGATACAACGGCATTGAAAAAAAGTGACTTATGACCACTTGTCACACTTATGACTGTTGCAGCATCCCTGGTGGTCACGTGATTGACAGTCAGATGCTCGACTAGCGACTCACATTTATGTTGCTGGATTCCTGTGATCCCCTCTTTGCGGCCTTCTGACCAGCGAAGTCTGGGGGGAGGGAACCAGATTTGCTTAACGACCATATTATTCATTTAAGAACCACAGTGATTCCCTTAACAAAAATGTGGCAAGAAAAATTGTAAAACGGGGCAAAGCTCACTTTGTCTCACTTAACAATATACATTTTGGGCTCAGTTGTGGTCGTAAGTTGAGGGAGCGGGAGAGAGAGAGAGCAGGAGAGAGAGAGAGAAAGAGAGGGAGGGGGAGAGAGAGGGAGGGAGGGAGAGAGAGAGGAGGAGGGGAGAGAGGGAGGGAGAGAGAGAGAGGAGGGAGAGAGAGAGGGAGGGAGGGAGAAAGAGAGGGAAGGAGGGAGAGGGAGGGAGGGAGGGAGAGAGAGAGAGGAAGAGAGGGGAGAGAGAGGGGGAGGGAGGAGAGAGAGAGGGGGGAGAGAGAAGGGAGGGAGGGAGAGAGAGAGGGGAGGTGTGTGCGTTTGAGTATGCATGGAAGAAAAAGAGCGCTCCATCTCTTTACCTGTGTAATTCTTGGTGGGACACCTGGACGCAGCTTCTGCTTTCTCCAAGGAAGTAGTTCCTTTAGCCGAGCCGTCACATACAAGAGGCCGTGCCTTATCTTGGGCTCCTGTGCTTTTTAGGCAAACAGTCTGGACACTTGGGGGGGGGGGGGGGGGGGGGGGTGGGGGTGGAAGAGGAGGTGGAGGTGGGGGCACAGATAGTGGTGCCCCCACGCCTTCCTTGGGAGGCTCCGGCCCATGCGGTGGTACAAAAATCTGGACGGGAACATCTCTAGGAGGCTTCTGAGTCGGTGCTTTGGAAGTCCTGACTTGTGTCGGATGGAGATTTCTGGATTGTTTGGCAGCTGGACCTTTTCTGATTGAACCAGCCTGTGGGGGAACCGTTGCAGGTCGTCTTGGTCCAGCCTGCTTGGAGCTGACGGGCCGAGAGCGGGAAGTCTTCAGCACAAACTGCGCAGGGCATTTCTGCAAGGTGAGAGAAGGCATCCATTTTGAAAACGGCAGGTGAGCTGACTATAATTCATCCCCCGTGGCTGTCAAACCCTTGGACACCCCCAAAGGTCCTTTTTCAAAAGACAATTGGAACTTTCTGTGTTTTTTTTTTCCCCTTGAAAACATTTTGCTTCTCATCCAAGAAGGTTCTTCATGAACTGAAGACTTGAGAACTGAAGAATCTTCTTGGATGAGAACCAAAACATTTTCAGGGGGGAAAAAAATCCCCAAGAAAGTCCAGTTGCCGTTTTGGAAAAGCACCTATGGGACAACCATAATCTGGCTGATTGAGAATCTCCATAAAGGTAAAAGGTAAAGGTTCCCCTCGCACATATGTGCTAGTCGTTCCCGACTCTAGGGGGCGGTGCTCATCTCTGTTTCAAAGCCGAAGAGCCAGTGCTGTCCGAAGACTTCTCCATGGTCATGTGGTTGGCATGACTCAACACCAAAGGCGCATGGAACGCTGTTCCCTTCCCACCAAAAATGGTCCCTATTTTTCTACTTGCATTTTTTCCGTGCTTCCGAACTGCTAGGTTGGCAGAAGCTGGGACAAGTAACGGGAGCTCCACCCATTACGCAGCACTAGGGATTCGAACCGTTGAACTGCCGACCTTCTGATCGACAAGCTCAGCGTCTTAGCCACTGAGCCACCGCATCCCTATGGTCTATGGAGAATCTCCATAGACAAACCCATAGGCATGTTTTCCGTATCATGATGTCTTCACATAACGTGTTCAGCCAGCTCAACGAAAGGCCTAACAGTGTCATTTGTTTCAACATGCGAAGCTGGATGAATGTTAACCTTGGGGAGATTTCTCTCTGGCTTCTAGGATTCTTTCTGTTTGGTTTATGACTTGATGTACATAACAGTAAAACTAGGTGGAGCTTCAATCTGTTCTAGCAAGTCTCTTTATTTAGATTTATATCTAGAGGGCGTGACAGCAATCCTGCAGCAACTAGTAAAGAGCTCATTTCCCACCATCACTGTTATAGGTAAAGGTAAAGGTTCCCTTTGCACATATGTGCTAGTCCTTCCCAACTCTAGGGGGCGGTGCTCATCTCTGTTTCAAAGCCGAAGAGCCAGCGCTGTCCGAAGACGTCTCCGTGGTCATGTGGCCGGCATGACTAAACGCCAAAGGCGCACGGAACACTGTTCCCTTCCCACCAAAGGTGGTCCCTATTTTTCTACTTGCATTTTTTACATGCTTTCAAACTGCTAGGTTGGCAGAAGCTGGGACAAGGAACGGGAGCTCCCCCGTTACACGGCACTAGGGATTCGAACCGTTGAACTGCCGACCTTTCAATCGACAAGCTCAGCGTCTTAGCCACTGAGCCACCGCATCCCGCTGTTATAAAGCAGCAGTTTTTGTAGAAAGATGACCTTCATCAATTTCCTGTACATGCCACTTCCATTGTCCTTTCATTCTCTTCCAGACCACAAGGACAGAGTTGTGTCAAGGTGACACTGATTAAATTCTGTGCAAAACCTCCTGCTGCCCCTCCTTGTGGTTTCTAAATCCAGAGTTGTTATCTCATGATTGATGCTGGACCAATAATAATCAATCCTTGTTTCTATTTTGCAAAGCAAAATATTCTGCGAGAGGGCTGAGGAACAAGATAAATGGTGATACTTGCCTCCTTGAACGATTTAAGCCTCTCCAGAGTTTTCTGCCGCTCTTCCTTGATCCAGGCTTTTTTCTTCTTCTCATCTTCTTTTCTCTTCTCTCTTTTCTGCAGTTTGAAGGACAAGCCTTAATGCACACATAGAGGAGTTTGCTTACAGTGGAACTAAATAGCTTTGAACATTGCAAAAATGGTTGGGGGCCTGATAACAGATTGCCTAAATTATGGAATGGGAACGGAGACATGGAAGGGGGAAGGGAAGAGAAAAAAGAGGGGAGGAGAGGAGAGGAGAGGAGAGGGAGGACGACGGGAGAGGAGAGGGGAGGAGGGGAGAGAAGAGGAGAGGAGAGGAGAGGAGGAGAGGAGAGGAGAGGAGAGGAGAGGAGAGAGGAGAGGAGAGAAGAAAAGAAGAAGAAAAGAAGAGAAGAGAAGAGAAGAGAAGAGAAGAGAAGAGAAGAGAAGAGAAGAGAAGAGAAGAGAAGAGGAAAAACTTAAGGGTATTGTGCAGTATTTCTGATCTGATTTCCAAAAACTGCTCTGGAGTCTCAACTCCAATGTGCCACACCTCAACCCGAGTGCCACACCTGAAAGCAGCTGTGAAAGGCAGATGTGCAATCCCAGGAAAAGGTGTGGTTGTTTTAAGGAGTTATAGACAGTTGCTATATTTGCAATCTTGCATGAAGCATTTTTTTTAAAAAAAAAATAAGTGCTGCCCAGCCCCAGAATTTATATAGAATTAATTATGAGCCCACATAAATACCTCTTCCTTTAACGGTTGGTTACCTTGTTTAGATTATCATTTATTGGTCTGGGACCATAAATAAATGTTATCTTTATGATGGTGTTGTTAGAATTTCCCATGAGATTCACCCACTCATAAGCAATCCCAATGTATATTTGCTTGGAGAAAAACCAAACAGCACACAATGAAGCTTGCTTACAAATGGACACAAAATAAGATTGTGTTCTTAGCTCCAAATTCCAGGAAACTCAAAGTCTATAACTAAGAGCAACATATAAATGGAACCAACCTAAAAACGTAAAGGTTTTCCCTGTCCAATTCTATCCTACTCTAAGGTGCAGTCCTCATCTCCGTTTCTTGGCTAAGGGAGCCAGCGTTGTCTGAAAACATTTCCGTGGTCATGTGACCAGCATGACTACGGTTCCCGCCGAAGTGGTACCTATTTATCTGCTCGCATTTGCATGCTTTCAAAGTGCTAGGTGAGCAGGAGCAGGGAACGGAAGCTCACCCGTCGTGCGGTGCTCGGGTCTCAAACCTGGGCTGCCAGCTCCAGCTGACAAGCTCAGCATCTTTAACCGCTGAACCATTATGCCAATCTACTGTATACCCCATATATACCTGTCTGTACCAATCTACACCTCATGAATTTGTGGGGTACTACAGCTTTCAACTAATAGGCGTCTTTCTGGTTTTGAAATAGCAGTAGCCCTCCCTTATTATGAGGGCTACCTAGACTGCCTTCAAAATAAACTAAGATTCTGGGAATGAAGAACAATTCTGCATTTTGCTGGGTTTTTTGCACACTGACCCACAGCCCTGTTATAACTGGAAACAGAACGCTCTCTCTCTCTCTCTACTTTCCACTTCTTAATACGTACAATCTGGATGTTGTGATGCTGTTGGAAGTAGCGTGTGGTTTCCTGTGCCTCCTGGATCCTCAAACGCCGGCTCTCTTCACATTGATCCTAAGAGGAAAGAAACCAGTGTAAAAATCCCACTAGCCGGAATCTGAAGATTCAGGCAGAAAACAAATCCACTGAATCGGAATATTGGATTCATAGCTTTTCCACTTTCTGCTGAACTTTCTTTAAAAAAAAAATACAATTCAAGCCCCCGTGCAAAGGATTGTGGGGGAAAAGTCATAACTTAGCATCCTTGGCAAACCAAGTTATTCCAGCCCTAAGGTAAAGATAAAGGTTCCCCTTGCACATATGCGTTAGTCGTTCCCAACTCTAGGGGGCGGTGCTCATCTCCGTTTCCAAGCCGAAGAGCCAGCGCTGTCCGAAGACGTCTCCATGGTCATGTGGCTGGCATGACTAAATGACAAAGGCGCACGGAACGCTGTTACCTTCCCACCAAAGGTGGTCCCTATTTTTCTACTTGCATTTTTTTACGTGCTTTCGAACTGCTAGGTTGGCAGAAGTTGGGACAAGGAACGGGAGCTCACCCCATTACGCAGCACTAGGGATTCGAATTGCTGAATTGCCGATCTTTCAGTCGACAAGCTCAGCTTCTTAGCCACCGAGCCACCACATCCCCTTTGTTCTAACCCTAAGACCTGCCATCTCCAGGTAGGGTTGTAATTCTGGAGAGTTTCTCCCAACTGATGACAATAAGAAGCTCGGTGGGCCAGTATCATTTTTAGGGGGAAAAGATCTACTGAATCTCTAATGGTCACTTCCAACCAAAAAAAAACAGATTCTCAACTGATTCTCATTATTTAGATCTATTGCATGAGGAAAGGGGTTAGATTATGTACAGATTCTTGCTAACTGGTTATATGTACTTTAGCCCCTGTTTATCAGCAGTACGTTAAGCCTTGATGCCTTTGATCCTCTCTCCTGACCCAAGGGAGACGCTGCCCCCTGCCCCCACTTGGCTTAATAATTATTCCTTAATTAAAGGAGTAATTGTACAACCATCCCCGAGGCCAGGCCAAGAGAAATCCAACAAGCCTTCTTTTGCAAAACACATACACTACAGCTCTACAAATTCCATTCAGAAAGAATCAACAATTCCCAAGCCCATATTTTTAGACCGTTTTCTAATGTATGGAACTGAACAACTTGGAACTGAATACACTCGAAACCGTAGAAATGGTGGTAGACTTTAGGAGAAACCCTCCCATACTACCACCTCTTACAATGCTAGACAACAGTATCAACAGTAGAGACCTTCAAATTTCTAGGATCTATCATATCTCAAGACCTAAAATGGACACCCAACATCAAAAACGTCATCCAAAAAGCACAACAAAGAATGTTCTTCCTGCACCAATTCAGGAAGCTCAAACTGCCCAAGGAGCTGCTGATCCAGTTCTACAGAGGAATGATGGAGTCTGTCATCTGCACCTCTATAACTGCCTGGTTTGGTTCTGCAACCCAACAAGACAGAGACAGACTTCAGCAGATAGTTAGAACCAGGGTGGATTTGATTTAAATCGAGTTGATTTAAATCACAATTTAAATCATGATTTAAATCACTAGTAAAAAGGCTTGATTTAAATCAACTCGATTTAAATCATAATTTTTAAAGAGCAACTGTCATCTCTGCTACTCCTTTGACCCACTGTTGACTCACCGATAGTCCCAGTGTTGCAGAATATACAGCCTCATGCTACATAACTAAGCTCCATTTCATGCTGAATAAACTAAATTATTTATGTATCTTAAATAGAAAACTATCTTACGATAGATTTTTACCCCAAAAGTTTTTTATTAAAATAAATTTGATAAAAATAAAAAAAAATCTGATTTAAATAAAAAAAAATCTGATTTTTTTGATTTTTTAAAAAAAATCATTGATTTTTATCCACCCTGGTTAGAACTGCAGAAAAAAAAACATGGCTACCAACCTGCCTTCCATGGAGGACCTCTATATTGCATGAGTCAAAAAGGGGGCTGTGAAAATATTTGACCGGATTAATGATTCTTACAAAGGGGAATGCTCCTAAAAACTTATGACCTAGTTTCTTGCACAGCAATTTTAGCTTTTAAGAATTTGGTAGAGAGGTAGAACTTCTCTCCCCTTCCCCCCCTCCCAACATGGAATGGTTTCTGAGACCGGCTGAGGTGGCGTATAACAATGCACACAAACCTCATAAAAGACTTTTCTGGAACTAGTTACCTTCTTGTTCCTGAGATAAGCTCTTCTGGAGCAGATAATCCCCCGCTTTGTCTCCAGCTGCTGAGTCTTCTGCCTGAGCTGTGCCACTTCAGAAGAAGAGGCACAGCTTGTTTCCAGGGCCCGATCCATGGCTTCTAATTCCTCAGAGTTTTCACAGGTGTCGTAATAAATGACTTCATTCTGGATCTCTATGGAAGGGGGCAAAAGGATTTCAAGTGAGTAAAATAGGCAACCCATCTCTCCTACCAGCTTTAGTGCCTCGCTAGAAAACTCAAGACATTTGCTGATAGTTGTGGTCCTTTAACTCTTGGAGAAACATCAGTTGAAGACTTGGGGTGTAGGGTAAGCAACCAGAAGTCTTGAAGATCAGAGGTGGGCTTCAGATACTGGAGCAACCCGTTCGCCCAGCACCGGAAATGCGTGGGCGCACCATCCACATGTGTGCGGTGTCACAAAACACGGCAATTTACATGCGCATGCTGTCCTCACATGCCTGTGACGTCAAATAACATGGCGATATAGGAAGGAATTGGGTTTTTTTTAAGCCTTTATCCTCTCTCCTCAATAAATACATTTATTGCATCGCAGAACTTGGAGAAATGCAGCAAAGGAAGAATCCTCCTGTTTTAATCCAGTGCCAACATGAAATTTATTTATTTATTTATTATTTATTTATTCATTCATTCATTCATTCATTCATTCATTCATTCATTTATTGGTTCGATTTATATGCCGCCCTTCTCCGGAGACTCAGGGCGGCTTACAATGGGTTAAGCAATAGCCTTCCTACTTTTGTATATACCTGCTTAGTAGGGCTTTCGGGCCCCCCCCAAGCGGTGTTCTTTTTTTATACAAAGTCAGTTTATTGCCCCCACAATCCGGGTCCTCATTTTACCTACCTCGGAAGGATGGAAGGCTGAGTCAACCTTGAGCCTAGTGAGATTTGAATTTGCAGTAATTGCAGGCAGCTGGTGCTACTTAACAGCACTTTAGTCCGCTGCACCACCAAGGCTCTGGTTCGGATTAAAATCGCCTGGTTCAGATGAAAATGCAAAGTGCAGCCAATATATCCTGTCTCCAGTCCTCACCCTTGATTTGCCTCTTCAACGTCTCCAGCTGTGTCACCAGCAACATTTCTTCATTCTTCAGGATTTCAAACTGTACCTCGTACAGCTCCAGCTGGGTTTCGTAATATTCTAGCTCCAGTTTTTCCACTTGAGCCATGTCAGTCTTCTGCTCGCTGAGTGTCTCCATCTTGGGGAGATCCCAAACAAAACAGGAAACGTTATTTAAGGCCACAAATATTACATGCAAAAAAATGAGGCATTTTGGAGGAAAGATGGTTGAGATAATAATGGTGTCAGCCCCAGCCCTGCGATCGGTGATGGGTTGCCCCCGGTTCAGACCGGTTCTATAGAACCGGTAGTAAAACCGGCGGGAGGCTCCACCCACTGACCCTGACGTCATAAGAAGCAAACTGCACATGCAATCTTGTTGCGAATCGGTAGTAAAGGTAAGTAGAACCCACCCCTGCCTGTGATGGTACTTGGGGGCCGCCATTCATGTGGGGATCACCATTCCGCTGCGGTACACTTTTGCCGACGTCCCTTCCTGTGTGCCTGCTCCCTTGGGTCGGCATGCCTCTCCCTTCGACTTCCCAGCCGCATGCTAGATGACGTCAGGGTCATGCACTGAAGCAGTTTATCACCACTTATCACTTTAAGGAAAGACGGAGCAGCACGGAACAACTGAAGTGGCTTGTGATGGATTGAGGAGGGAGAGGGAGGATACGGGGTAATTGGATAACTGAATGATTGCACTGGGGTGTGGCTGTACACTGATTAAAAGGTGATGTGGAGCATGGAGCATCAGCTCCAACGAACATTCCTTTCTGTAACAATTTAAGGTGGTCACTTAGTACCGATATCAGGATAAACAGACTTGGTTACTGCTTTTGCGTACTGAGGTTTAGCTTTGTAGCACTCGAGAAGAAATGGGGTGACGGGTTCCTTTACAGTAAGGAACTAGATTCAGGCATAGGACAGAAGTGGCTTTGGGTGCTCCGACATTGTTGGGACCTGGACAGAGGTAGCACATTTCTTCTGCTCCTTTTAGGCTTCTTGATGGTTTTTGATACCATCAACCATGGTATTGTCAAGTTTCGAGGTCGTCTCAAATAAATTGCATTTCAAACAAAGTCTTTGATGAAAAACGTCCATTTATTAAGCACGACATTCTAACTCCGACTCCATCGTAGTCAACACTGGCTTCCTGACCCAAAACCCTCCTTTTCCTTTCCCCACTCCTCTGCACTCATTGGCCATCTTCCAAGTCACTCTACCCCTAATCTATTGCTCCAGCTCAAAGGAATTTCCCCCCTCCCGTCCATCTCCTAGGGGATATTATCTCCAGGGAAAATAAGTAGGTGAAAAGTCAAACGTCCCTTTCCAGACGCCTCCGCTTCTCCTTCTTATGTCAGCACTAGAGTAAATGCAGCTTGAAGTGCTGACAGGTATCTTGCTGGACTGCCTAGGGCAGAGGTGTCAAACTCAATTTCATTGAGGGCCACATCAGGGCTGTGGTTGACCTTGGGGGCCTGGAGGGGTGTGGCCAACTGGGTGGGTGTGGCTGACTGGGTGGGCATGGCCAGCTTGACACTATACTCCCCAAACATGTTGAGAGTTGGCTTTTCTCTCCTTTCCTTTTAAAACCTGTATAAGGGAGGTCATCTGGCATGTTGAAGTATGTTGATGACCCTCAATTTTTTTTCCAAAAAAGTTTTTTATTTTTATAAACAAACAAACATACAATACATAATCAATCAATCGGTGTATAATCTGAGTACCTCTTTTGTGTCTTCTCCCTACTCCTCAATTGTTTCACATATCCTAATATTTATCATTTCATTTATTATGCCATTTCTCCCACCTTTCTTTACACTATTATTCTATATACAGTATGTATCTTCTCCAACCAATAATAAAATTTCCCCCATATCTTAAAATATTCCGATTCCTCTCTTTCTTTAAGTGTCAAAGTCAATCTATTCATTTCTGCACAATCCAATATTTTCTTAATTATTTCTCCCTCCATAGGGATTTTCTCTGCTTTCCATCTTTCCACAAATACTATCCTCGCTGCAGTTATAACATGTACAATCAAATATCTATTTTTCCTTACTAAATTTCTCTGGTAAGATACCCAATAGGAACAGTCCAGGTTTTAAATCTATATGTTTTTGTATCGTTTCTTCTAACCATGTTTTGATTTGATCACCCTCAAATTTATATTGCAATTCTAGGCTGTGAGAAGAGGTGCTCTGAAATAAGTTTCCTGATGGAAATCAGATTGACCTTCTTATTGGGTTTCAAGAAGACCTCTCGTTATTAGGCAATAAATCCCCAGAAATTTCAAAGAAGATGGCGGGATATTAATCCATCATGAACGCAATAAGGAAAGCTCCTGAGTAATTAAGCTCTGTTATATTATCCCAGATGTACTTTTCTAATATTTTACTGCACCGGTTGTTGTCGATGTTTTATATTGGATTTTGGTCCATGGCCATAAATAAATCTGAATGTAGAGTATTCTCAAGAGAGCATCTGAACATGCTTTTCCTGAGCAATTAATTTTAGCTTAGCAAATCTGTCCATTTTTTTTCACTTTCAATGCCAATACAGCAAGTGGACACTCTCTCTCAGTCTACCACAAAGCCAGAGCAGGGATGCATATGACAGAGTGGTGCGGTGGCCTAGAGGTGGAGCTCTTGCCTCACCATCAGGAGGCTGTGAGTTTGATCCTAGGTAGAGGCTGATATTTCTCTCTCTCTGGGCACACTGAGAATAGATCTGCTGAAAAAAACCTCCGCATCGGCGACAGGAAAGGCATCTGGCCAGTAAACACTCTGCTAGCTCCATTCATTTGCCCAGACTCCACCCTGCAAGGGATTATGGAGTCATTAAAAGACGATGAGGATGATGATGGATGCATATGACGGAGGGAAACAGGGAGTGGGAGAAATAGCCTTACCTGCTTTCTGATGTCGACTCTTTTGTGCTTCAGGCACAATTCTCTGGCTCTCATATGCTGAAGGGTTTCTTTTGCTAGCAGATATTTTAAGTTTTCTAATCTTGGAGAAGCGGAGGCCCAGGCAGCTTGGCCAAATCGCCTTTGATCTTGCTCCATCTGTTTGTGCATTGCTGGTGAACAAGGAAGAAACAAAAAGTAAAGCACGGTCTCGAAGTGGCTAAGAAGAATCTTGCACTTCCTTCTCCGGGAAGAGGAAAGAATGTTTGAGGTATATAAAATAGAAGAGGATATGGCCCAATAACTATTCTAAACGACTCTAAGAATTCATTTTAAAAGTCAGGCATGAAGGGAATAGACAAAAAGAGAAGGTCGAAGAACAGGAGGCCGACCCAGAAGAAGATGGAAAGTCAACATCAAAGAGACACTACAACGGTGTCAATTAACAATGGTTGAGGCTGCAAGAAGGGCAAGAACCAGAACATTGTATTGAGGAGGAAGAGGAGGAGGAACGAAGAGGAGGAAGGAGGAAGAGGAAGGAGAAGGTGGAAGAGGGAGGAGGAGGAGGAAGAAGAGAAGAGGAGGAGGAGGAAGAAGAGAAGAGGAGGAGGAGAAAAGAAGGAGAAGAAGAAGAAGGAGAAGGAGAGGAGGAGGAGGAGAAGGAGGAGAAGGAGGAGAAGAAAGGAGGAAGAGGGAGGAGGAGGAGAAAAGGAGAAGAAGAGAAGGAGGAGGAGGAGGAAGGAAGGAAGAGAAAAGAAGGAGGAGAAAAAGAGGAGGAGGAGGAAGGAAGAGGAGGAAGGAGGAGAAGGAGAAAGAGAAAAGGAGAAGAAGAAGAAGGAGAGGAGGAGGAGGAAGAGGAAGGAGAAGGAGGAAGAAGGAGGAGGAAGGAGAAGAAGAGAAGGAGGAGGAGGAGAAAAGAAGGAGAAGAAGAAGAGAAAGAGGAGGAGGGAGGAGAAGGAGAAGGAGGGAGGAAGAAGGAGGAGGGGGAAGAAGAGAAGAAGAGGAGGAGGAGAATGGAACTAGGAGTTGCTGAGGAAAGGAATTATTACAAGTTGCTAAGGAATGAAGCATCTCTTGATTTTAATATATTTAGGAGAAGGTAGCCAACAGATTCAAAAAGCACTGATTTCCCCATATACCATATTTTGGGTTGTACCCACTCTTCCACCCTGGCCTATACTGCCCCCACGGCCACCCCCTTTAGATTTTCTCAATGAAAGTCTCTTTTGCTTATGTCTGGCTCACCTGCGAGCGCAGTCACAGTTTCCTTGAAGTAGCCAACTGTGATGTTTTGAATGGAGCACACGGCTTCCTCCGCCTGATCTGTCCACTCCTTGGCCTCTTTCTGCAAAGCTTCTATCCTCCTGGGACCCAGCCGGTCGGCTTGCAAGGATTTCTGCAAGGAGACACATTTTAACACCCGCCTACCGGAGTGTTGAACAGCTCACTAAATCATCTGCCGGCAGGTGTCACACATTGGCGGTTGTTGACGCATATTTTGAGTGACAGGGAGCCGGAGAAGAGAGGTGAAAGAGCCACATGCGGCTCCAGAGCCGCAGATTGCTGACTCCTGTTCTAGTCTGATGAAAAGAAGGACTAGGGGAGACATGATAGCAGTCTTCCAATATCTCAGGGGCTGCCACAAAGAAGAGGGATTCAAGCTATTCTCCAAAGCATCTGAGGGCAGGACAAGAAGCAATGGGTGGAAATTAATCAAGGAGAGAAGCAACTTAGAACTAAGGAGGAATTTCCTGACAGTTAGAAAAATTAATCAGCGGAACAACTTGCCACCAGAAGTTGTGAATGTTCCAACACTGGAGGTTTTTAAGAAGAGATTGGATAACCATTTGTCTGAAGTGGTGTTGGGATTCCTGCCTAAGCAGGGGGTTGGACTAGAAGACCTCCAAGGTCCCATCCAACTCTGTTATTCTATTCTATTCTAAATCCGTACATCCTTAAGTCTTGGGATATGTTTTGGTTTTCTTTTTGTTTTTTTGAAAGAGTAGAAAAAGAAACTTACCAGAATCTCAAGTCTATATAACGTGGCCAGTTCTCTCATGTCTCGGAACGGTAACAATAAATATTGATAGAATTCAGTTGCCACGGTCACCAGCTCCCAATAAGCTTCATCTTCCTCCTTGTACAGCTCCATTAAATCTACCAGCTTATCAGCATCTTTGTGCTTGTGAAGAACCTACCAAGACGATAATAAAGAGAGTTTATTTTGAGAATTAGCCAAAAAAGTTTTCGTCTTTGCAAGGGAGGCCGGATTTTTATTTGCTTTAATTTATATGCCGCCCTTCTCCGGAGACTCAGGGCGGCTTACAATGCGTTAAGCAATAGCCTTCATACTTTTGTATATTTATACAAAGTCAGCTTATTGCCCCCACAAACTGGGTCCTCATTTCACCTACCTTTGAAAGGATGGAAGGCTGAGTCAACCTTGAGCCTGGTGAGATTTGAACTTGCAGTAATTGCAAGCAGCAGATGTTAATAACAGTGTTTTAGTCCACTGTACTACAGGCTCTTACAAAGCCTGTAGTACATACTGAGGTTTAAGGAGAAAGACCGTTTACTGTGGTCTTCCTGCCTTTGCTAACTTTTCACAGGCATGGAAAATCTAACAGGGAGAAGATACCAGAGAAGTTCAAATAAAGCTATGCTCAAAGTAACGTTTCTCCCTCATTCTCGCTCATCCCTTCCCTGAGAATTTTGCCTCATGTGTTGAAAACTGGCAAGAGACTCCAGATCAGGGGTCGGCAACCTTAAACACTGAAAGAGCCACAAAGGTCCTAACCGGAAGCCCCCGTTCAATTCTGGAACCGACCGGAAGTCCGGTTCCCCCATCATAGTCTCCTCTTAGCGCGGCGTCCTTTTTCCTCTGCTGACCAGAAGTCTGGTTCCTCCATCATAGAGTGTCCTCCTAGCACGGCATCCTTTTTCCTCTACCTGTCCTAACTGAAAGCCCTATCAATTGCGGAGCCGACCAGCAACAAGGAGCCGCAGCAGAGGGATGAAAGAGCCACATGCGGCTCCAGAGCCGCGGGGTGCTGACCCCTGCTCCAGACAGTAAAAAAATCTTTTGACATGAGCCAAGATGGGGTGCTTGCCAGCAAAGAGAAGGGACTGTCCAACTGAAAGAACCGATGATGTTCATGGTTTATAGCAGGGGTCTCCAACCTTGGCAACTTGAAGACTTGTGGACTTCAACTCCCAGAGTTCCTCAGCCAGCAAAACAAAGCTGGCTGAGGAATTCTGGGAGTTGAAGAGCCAGCAAAGCAAAGCTGGCTGAGGAATTCTGGGAGTTGAAGTCCACAAGTCTTCAAGTTGCCAAGGTTGGAGACTCCTGGTTTATAGGGACTCCTGGCGTAGGAAGTTAGCACCCACCCCTCCTAGAAAAATAAAATATTTGAGGAAATATTAAAAAAGGCAGAATATTATATTTCCTTGGATGAGAAATGGAGAAATGTTTTTTTAGGCAGGAAGCAGACTCACTCTTAATAGCCCCCATCATCCTCAATAGCTCACAGCAGATGTCCCCACTTAAGAGATAAAGAGATAGCTAGGTCTATTCACCCAAGATCCAACAAAGGTAGGATTAGCCCACTACCCATCTAGCAACAGAGCTCATCACATGGCACCTGGGGAGATTGCATCACCCAGCAAGATTCAACCATGCTTGGGACTCAGGACAGCCTACAGAGTTGTCCCTGCATGGCCCCACAGGAGTCTGACAACCAATCAGAATACAAGCTCAAATTCAAAGCCCAACAGAGGGCATAAAACGCAAGCACTCTCAGCATTTCTGCCCCTTTTTCTCCTTCACCCAACATCATCAAGGCATGTGATCCTGTCCACCATTAAAAAGCATCTTTCCAAGCGGTCTCCATGTTTCCAGTGTCTTTCCCCCCACCTTGGAACTGAACCCAGATGGACATTTCTTCCAACACTGGTTTATAGGTTCAAGAGCAGACCACGAAGCTCCAGAGAAACGTTGCTGTTCCAGGAGAGGTTCAAAACATCGCTACATCCAAACCAATCTTCCGTCAGATTTAGTTGAGGGTAAGCCTATCCGCTGATAGCTGCAAGCCCCTCTTCTCTTCCCAAATACTATGCTCTCCCCACAAATGCATGGGGATACTGATTAAGAGGAATTCAAAGTCCAAAGGAACCTGTCAATCAGGGAGGCTTGGACTATGCTCTTGACTAAAGACTTTGACAGGGTCGAAGTCCTGTCCTTTCTTTTTGCTGTGGCTTAGCGTCTGCTTCGTAAAGGTGGTTTATGGCTCACAACCCTCACAGCTTCAACCCTAAACTGTCTACCGTGGACCTCACCCCATTCCTGAGAGGTCTGTAAAGAGGGCGTGCATAAGCGCACCAGCGTGCCTACTGTCCCGGTCCTACTGTCCCCATTTCTTTGTATTCATTTCCTTGGGTCATGTCCATGTTCATATTTAAACCTGCTATCTTGTACATGTTTGACAAACCAACAAACAAAGTAACTAACAAACAAACAAATAAATAATCACAGTGTGATTATTAGGAGCCTGGTTTAGCTCAACAGACAGAAGCACTGTAATTTAACACCAGCTGTCTGCAATTAAAGTAAGATCGAATCTCGCCAGGCTCAAGGTTGACTCAGCCTTCCATCCTTTCTAAGGCAGGTAAATTGAGGACCCAGTTTGTGGGGGCAATAAGCTGACTTTGTATAAATATACAAAAAGTATGAAGGCTATTGCTTAACCCACTGTAAGCCGCCCTGAGTCTCCGGAGAAGGGCAGCATATAAATCAATTTTTTTTTTTTTAAAGTGTTTCTCAAGCTTAGGAATTTTAAGAATGGCGGACTTCAACTTCCACCGCTGGGGGAATCCTGGGAGTTGAAGTCCCACTCCTTATCTAGACTTCCCAAAAGCTGAGAAACTCTTGGCAAGCGCACTAGCGTGCCTACCATCCCGCTCCTACTGTCCCCATTATTTTGTATTCATTTCCTTCGGTCATGTCCATGTTCATATTCATACCTGCTATCTTGTACATGTTTGACAAACTAACAAACAAACAAACAAACAAACAAACAAATAAATAATCACAGTGTTTCTCAAGCTTAGGAATTTTAAGAACGGCGGACTTCAATTTCCACCGGCTGGGGGAATCCTGGGAGTTGACGTCCCACTCCTTAGCTAGACTTCCCAAAAGCTGAGAAACTCTTGGCAAGAAAGCAAGGGCAAACCGGTAGCACTCCAGACAGAGGTTGCTAAACTACAATTTCTGGCGTCTCTCCGCATTACTCACCATTCCTAAGGATGCCGGGAACTGTAGTTCACAGGTCGGGAAAAGGGCTGTACTTGTGCAGCTCGACCCTCCCCCCCCCCACAACAATCTCAGCTGGTTTACTTTCAGCCTGGGTTAACTTTATAGCCTATCTGGGTAGGGAAACCAAAGCCCCCACACCACCAAAGCCCCCTACTCCAAGCCTCCTCCTTAAGCCCCTTTTGCAAGGGATGCCTTGTGAAATCATTAACCCTCCTTCCCTCCCTCCCTCTCCCCTCCCTCTTCGTCCTTCAAATTGCCGTACCCCTCTCAAGGTCTCCTTGCCCGCCGTCAGCTGCCCCTTGAGACTTTTCCTGCGGAACTCCTGCAGGTTTTCGAAATACTCCTCTTCCTCCTGCTGATCGTGGGCGAAGAGCGAATCCAGGAGCGTCTTCCGTCCGCAGGCTTCCAAGGCCCAGCCGAAGTAGGCTTCCAAGCGCCGGCACAGGGTCTCCAGCTCCGTCTCCCCCAAAACCGGGCAGCTGGGGAAGAGCAGCGCCCAGAAACCGCTGGGTCCGCTCAGCGCGGGGGGCAAGGCGGGGAAGCAGGGCTCCAGCTGCTGGTTCAAAGCCGCCAGCTGCCGGTGGACCCCCACCAAGGCCTGCGGGGAGTACAAGCCGGCCCAGCTCAGCCGCTGCTCATCGCCGGCCTCTTCCTCTTCTTCTTCATCCTCATCATCCTCCTCATCTTCCTCCTCCTTCCCTCCCTCCTTCTCCCCGCCGGCTCGTTCTTGTAAAGTCCGGTTGTGACAAGTCACCGCGAATTTGCTCTCCACGCCGTTCCAAGCCACCAAGAAGCGCAGCTTGTGGGGCGGCTCGGGCTGGCCGAAGATGTTTTCTTTGATGGCCACCCAACCTTCCAGGCTGTCCGGCTGGATCTCCTCCACCAGCTCCATGGGCAGGCGAGCCCACCCCCCGTGGGATGCGCGCTTCAGCTGGGGGAGAGAGAGAAAAAAAGGAAGGCACTTTCCCACGCGCGCCCAGGGAACTTCAAAGCGGCGGCGGGGCGGCGGGGGGTCTCCCAGCGTTCTAGAACGCTGGGAAAACTTTGCCTCCCTTCGAACGAAAGGGAAAGTGTCGGGGTGACAGCCCCGCTGGTTGGCTGGTTGGTTGGCTTCCTTCTCTGACGTCACGCGAGGCTCTCTGGATTCTTCATTGGCTGGCCGGCTTTCGGAGGTGGGGGGTTGGGGTTGGGGCGGGGGTGGAGAGAAGCGAGCTTTGAACTCGTGGGGATGCGTGACTCCGCATTTGGTCAGCAAATCACGAGGGTTCAGGCAGGGTTTAGCCTTGGAGGTCTGCCTTTCGGGAGGACTGCCAAAAATGCCTCTTTCTCTCCCCCCACACCTTTTTTGGGGGGGGCTATGATTTTAGGAGGGGGAAGATTTTTTTATTTATGATGATGATGATGATGATGTATTTGTCAAGCCTGTATAAGATAACAGATATAAGTATAAACATGAATGTGAATACATGAAATCAGAGGTGGGTTTCAGCGGGTTCTGACCAGTTCTGGAGAACCGGTAGCGGAAATTTTGAGTAGTTTGGAGAACCGGTAAATACCAACTCTGACTGGCTCCGTGCCCATCTATTCTCTGCCTCCCAAGTCCCAGCTGATTGGGAGGAAATGGGGATTTTGCAGTAACCTTCCCCTGGAGTGGGGAGGGAATAGAGATTGTACAGTATGCTTCCCTTGCCACACCCACCAAGCCACACCCACAGAACCGGTAGTAAAAAATTTTGAAACCCACCACTGCATGAAATGGATATGAATAAATGGGGACAGTAGGACAGGGACGGTAGATCTTTAAAATCTTTAAGGATCTCAGTAACAACCCCAGAAATTGTGAAGAACCGGGAAGTAGAGTTTTTAATTGTTTGCTATCAGTTCGTATTTAATGCTCAAATTGGAAATTGGTTCCACTGGGGTCTTGGATCAGATTGGCAGGAAGGGGAAAATATATACCCTCCAACCCTAATTGCAAGGGCAGCGCTGAATAAATCAGAAAAGAAACACACCACTTTTAATAGGCTAGTGTGTCACAGGTGCGTCCCCCTGGCTGTAAAAAAATACTCATTTTGGATTTTGTTAATAATGCCAAGCAACTCGATTTTCCAGTGTTAGAAAATGCAAGTTTTTCCACCCTGTCTAGAGGATTTTAAACATTGTCCCCAAAATAGTTTGTAAATTGTAGACGAGTCTAGTAAGATTGTAACATAGAAAATAAGCAAACAATAATAGCTTTTAAAAGCCCAATTGAAATAGAGATACAGTTTTACACAGAGGTTTGTGATACTTTATAGCTTCTCTGGGGAAGGGTTGTGTTTGCTCAAGATCAGACACGGGTACCCCTAGCTTGTGTTAATACAAATATAAAATTGTGGATCTTTGCTAGTCGCCCACAAATAGAATTCTTCTCCATTGGCCAAGTGGATTGGAATTTGCCTCCGGTGCACAAGTTCTCAGTGTACATACAAACAACAAAGTGATAAATCATAAGATATAATAATAAATCATGAGATGCAAAAAACAAAGTGATAAATCATAAGATACCAATTGGAGAAGGAAATAAGAAAGATAAGCAGGATAACAGCAATACAGCCCTACTACATGAATAAATAGAAGATCAGAACCATATATATATATATTATATATATAAATGGCATTCTGTATATAGCCATTCTGACTTTGTCCTCAAAATATGGAGTGTATTAATTCCCAATTCTCTCCATCTTCACAGTTGGCAATTGATGCTACTATACACTCTTTCTTCCAGAAGGTTTAAAGAAGACATTTTTTAAACGGGTCTCTCTGGGATTCAAAACTTTCAGGCCTCGATGTTTTCGTTAAAATTTGGATGTGACATTTTCTGCCATGACATTTAAGGGAGCTTTAGAGACAGGTGCTGATCTATCTTTGCTCCCTTGCTAATAGCTGGCATGCTATTCATGGGGTAGGTGGTGGTGGGGAAATCTTGTCTAATGTTACAGCACTAAGTTTTCGTTACAGAAAGATGGCAAGGTTTGGAAAATCAAGTTTGTGATACGGAGGAACCGAAATGCGTCACGATCATTTGACCGTAAGAAGAACTGATGGATCCTTAACAGAAAAAGGCAAGTATTCTTTTTAAGAACAAAAGGATTCCTCACTTTCAAAACTTTTAAGCTGCTTGAAAGTGCTGCCTCTGCGTTTGCATGTAGTTGTTCCCAGCGCACAATTTTTCCTTAAGATCTCATTGCTGATCAATTTCAATTAGGGGCGATCAAACAGCTGTGGTTTCCTTTACAATGCTAGACACACAGACACACGCATTTTCCCACATGCCTGTAGGAGAGATTTTGAAATCTCCTTGGTGTTTATGTTTAATAAATCAAACGGAAACAAATATATGTAGTATGTATAATATACATATTTGTTTCCATTCGATTATATAGTATAATATATAGTACATATATACTATATATACTATATATTATACTATATATACCAGTGGTGAAATCTGAACTGGTTTACTACCAGTTTAAAAGCATTGCTTTTAAAAGTAAAAAGCAACAACCTCTGACGATCTCACTGCTCAGTTGTCATTGTCAGAGGCTTTTTTTTACCTTTTAACAGCATTTCTTTTACAACTTCTTTGGCCGAAGAGGTTGTAGAAAAAAATGCTTTTAAAAGGCTCTGATGATCCCAACTGAGTTGCCTGATCATCAGAGGCTTTTTTTTACTTTTAAAAGCATTTTTTTGGCCAAAGAGGTTGTAGAAAAAATACTTTTAAAACTTTAAAAAAAAAAAAAAGCCTCTGATGATCACGCAGCTCAGTTGGGCATGTGGGGGTGGGCCGGGATTTTTGCTACTGGTTCTCCGAACCACCCGCCACCATCGCTACTGGATCTGGCGATCCGGTCCGAACCGGAAGCATATATATATATAATGCATTTAGCATTTCTTTGACAGCCTGATAGGAGCAACCTTTAATGGAAGGCTACTTGAAAAAGAAGAAGGAAATTTTGCTCTCTATTTCAAACCTGTTTTAAAGATTTATATTATTGGATTCTGTCCCTTGCTGTTGTTATTTACTCTTATTGGTTTTATTTTTCCCGTTGGTCTGAGCTTGGATAGGAGTGCTATGGGGCTACATTCAAAGGTCTCAGACCTCTGTCTTTGTCACACTAAGTTAGTATGCAAAGTTTGGTCAGAAGGAAAGGTTAGCCATATGTTTTCCTTGCAGCCCTTAAGAGCAAACGAAGTTCTGAGATCACATTGGCTTAGAACTGGTAACCTGGTTTTCTATCATTTCTCTGAAAGAGAAAAGCTACACTGGAAGCCCAAAATGATATGTTTTTTTAAAGGAAAGGAAATTAACCCAAAAAGGAAAAGGGGCTAAAAATACCAAGTCTATCTGCATATATGATAGAACTTCACCTACATAATATCATTGTCCCAACCCAGCAGATAACCCATCTGGCTATCAGGAAATGGGATTTCTGCCTTTTTTTGTTCCTGATTATCTGTTTCCTAGGCATCTAATTCTTCCATGGTGCATCCTGATAACTTCCAGGTACATCTATGCATTTTTCTTGGCAAAAGAATGGAAGGGGCTTGGTGTTTCCAAATGTTATGTCCAGTTCCCAGTATTTCCAGTCTCGTTGGATTTCCTTGGGATCTCCTGATATCAATCAACTTGAACTGGGAGGGGGGGCTTCAAAAATTTTAGCAAGGGGTTCTCTGCCCAGTTGCTGGGTTGGCGTGGCCTAATCGGCCTCCTGCACCACAGCGGGGAGGGGGAGGCGTTTTTGCCCTCCCCTAGCTCTGGAGGCTTTCCTCAAGCCGCCTGGAGTGAGAAAACGGCCTCCCCAGGCTCCGGAGGCCCTCTAGAGGCTGGAAATGGGCCCATTTCCATCCTTCCCAAACTTCCGGTAGGCCCGTTTTTTGCCCTCCCCGAGCCTCCATGCACGCCCTGCACTTATCTGCATCCAAAACAGGCTGTGTGGGGACTCCTGGGAGGGGAGGGAAGGGGAGGGGTGGGCAGGAGTGGGATTTGGGGATACTCCAAACTGCACAGAATCTTAGCTAGAGATTCTCCCGAACCCCCAGCAGCCCACCTCTGACTTGAACCTTCTTGGCTTTTTGAGACGTTAAGCATAAATTCCATTGCGTGTTGTACTTTTATTGTTTTCTTAACAGGAAGGTGGGAAGCAGCACCCAAGACCTTTTCTTGGCCTCTTGACTTGGTGTCCAATACTCCTTCTCCACCATGGACTCTCCACTGAAAAGGGACGAGCCAGAGAGTCCCAGGTTTTATCATTTGGAACTTTACGACTCCCTTGAAGATTTCTTTCCCGAGGAACCGTTTCGAAGGCGAGATCTATCTCCGTGTGAAAAGAGGGCAACCCAAGATGCAGAGAAGGAACCCGCACCTCCTGAGGAGTGTCGGGATCAGCAACCCACAGACCATGAGGGAGAAAATAATGAGAAGGGTGACCGTGATGTTCTTGAGGATAAGGAGGCAAGCCGACAGTCCTACCAAGAGAAAGAACTGTATTGCATTACTTGCTGTGTTCCAGTGACCCCTTTCAGTAGCAAGAACGAGGACCATCAAGAGCACGAAGTCATGTCTCTCGCGGCTGTGGTGTATATCGCAAAGGTGAGGACCGATCGTAAAGCCGATCCAGGTAGGGAAGCAGGATGTCAGGTTTCGATGTCATCTCAAATAAATTGCATTTCCAAACAATTAATCTTTGCGGAAATCTTCCATTTATTGAGTGCGACAAATCCGGCCCCGACTTCGTCATAGCCGATACTAACCCTCTGACCCCAAACCCTTCCCTTTCCGTTTCCCAATTCTCAGCATCTCATTGGCCACCTTCCAAGTCAGTCTCCCCACCTCCTGACTTCAACCCACAGGAATGTCCCCCCTCCCTTCCCATCTCCTAGGGGATATTATCTACAGAGAAAATAAGTAGGTGAAAAGTCAAGCCTCTTCGTCTTCTCTTTATGGCAGCATTAGAATGCTGACACAGGACACGTTTGGCTAGGCTGCAAGACTCTGAACCGCTTTTTTGTTTTGAAAGGATGCGCTCCAGAAAAATATCGGCCGATTGGAAGACCAAATCGCTCACCTGGAGAGTTTTGCTAGCCACTTGGAGGAAATTTTTATTACGGTA